AATGGCCAGTGGCGGCGGGCACATGGTGGGGAAGGTCCTGGGTAGGGTGGCAGGCACCAGTAAGTTTAAAGTACTTTTGGTTTTTAGTGTCCAATAAAGCCGAGTAGAATTGTGAGTTCAGGTTGTGGATCCTACAAAGAATGAAAAACAGGAGGGGTCCTTTGCAGGTCTGGGAGAGGGAGGCTCTGAGCTGGGGTAGGCTTAATTGTAGTATCTGGAGATGCCAGCGCATTGCAGCAAGTGTGTGTTTCAGGAGTCACAGGGAGAAACGCTTCTAGTTTGGAATTATGTTTGGCATTGACTGGTTGGACCTGAGAGTCTGTTTCCATGCTATATGACTCTATGACTCTAAGATGTATAAAATGTTTAAAGAATTTGTCACATCGAAGGTTGCTGTGCAAGGTAAGAGCTCATGTTACGGGGGTAATATTTTAGCTTGGATAAAGGGTTGTTCGGCCCTTGGGAAGTGGAGGATGAGCATAAATGCTTTGTTTTCAGGTTGGCAGGGTGTGATAACTATTGTGCCAAAGGGATGAGTGTTGGGACCTCAATTACAAACAGCTTATGTTAATGATCTGGATGAAGGGACTGAATGTATGATTGCTCAATTTGCTGATGATATAAATAAAGGCAGGACCGTTAGTTGTGAGGCGTACAAAAGGAGTCTAGCAGATAGAGTATAATATGGGAAAATGTGAACTTGCCCACTTTGGCAGACAAAAGTGGTAAACAATTTATGTGGAGAGAGACTGTGTAACCCAGGGTATCTCTGAGAGCCTTGGTACATGATTCTCAAAATTATTATGTTGGTACAGCAAATGATTTGGAAGACAAGTGGAATAATGTCCTTTATTCTAGTAGAATGGACTAACAAAGTAGGTAAAAAAAAGTCCAAAGATTAGTGGATTCTGTAAATAGGAACAAAAACTGAAGTTGTTGGAAAAATTCAGCAGGTCTGGCAGCATCTGTGAAGAAAAATCAGAGTTAATGTTTCAAATCTAGTTACCCTTCCTCCATTCTGAGTATATAACAGAGCGTTATACAGAGTAATCCGAACAGTTTTGTCCTCCTTATTTAAGTCAATGCGTTAGAACTAGTACAGCATACATTTGGTCCCTTCATTCGACTGATGCCTATGATGAACTGATGCCTGAGATGGAATGATTATCTTATGAAAAAAGTTTGGAGAGGCTGGACTTGTATTCATTGGAGTATAGAAGAATGAGAGGTCATTTTATTGCAACACTGATCCTGAGGGGACGTGACAAGTTAGATGTTGAAAAGATGTTTGCCGTTGTAGGAGAAACTCATACTAGAACACATGGTTGAAAAGTAAAAGATCTCCTATTTAAGACTGAGATGTGGAGATTTTTTTTCTCTCTTGGAGGGTTGTGAGTCTTTGGAACTTTCTTCCCAAAGAGTGGTGGAGGTGGGCTTATTGAATATATTTAAGGTAGAGGCAGATTCCTAAATAACACAGGCATTAATGGTTGTTGGGGTGGTTGGAATTTGAAATTGAGGAAACAATTAGATCTGCCATGATTTTAAAGAATAGTGGAGCCAGTTAGAGAGGTCAACTGGCCTACACCTTCTAATTTGTATTAAAGGCTATCACAGGATGTGGAGTAATGGTGACAAAATATAATGGATGGCAAATAAACCATCATCTAATTGAATGGCAGGTGAAACATAAGAACCCAAATGCCTATTCTTGTTCCTATGCTAATTGAATATCTAAATGGCCCAATATCCAGTTCTCATTCAATAGTCATAGCCAATGTACCTGTTGAAAATAGCTTTACATCATTGATTGCAGAGAAATCTTATGATTCCTCATTCAATTCATGGTTATTGGTGACACAAGAAAAGGAGATGGAAAATGCAGAATGAATAGGAAAGAGTAAAAGAGTGGGTTGATTTGAAAGAGTCTACATAGTCAAAATGTGTGTTGAATGATTATGTGCATTATATCACTTCAGCTGTTAGCCCTTCTGAGATCAGTTAACTCAATCTGTCAACAGAATATGAAATACGATTTGCTGCTGTGCTGGGGGCTGAAGGGAGGGGTTGAGTAACACAAAATGGACTATCTTCACATTTCTAATCATTTTCAGTCCTGTGACACAATGTACAATTCAGTAGATGGAGTAATATATTCAAGACTGGAATTGTCCTATCGCCTACCTGAGAATCAGATGAAGGATGTGTGAGCTTGGATTCAACGCCATTGAGTTAAAAATGAGACTCTGAGCAACCTAGATGTCAGTGGGTGTGTCTGATTCAAGAGCGAACTATGTGGTAAATGGAAAAGCCCTGGGGAAAATTGATGCAAGAGAGATCTGGGTGTTCAGGTCCATTGTACCCTGAAGGTCGCTACGCAGGTCGATAGAGTGGTCAAGAAGGCATACAGCATGCTTTCATTCATCAGACGGGGTATTGAGTACAAGAGTTGGCAGGTCATGTTACAGTTGTATAGGACTTTGGTTCGACCACATTTGGAATACTGCGTACAGTTCTGGTCGCCACATTACCAAAAGGATGTGGATGCTTTGGAGAGAGTGCAGAGGAGGTTCACCAGGATGTTGCCTGGTATGGAGGTCACTAGCTATGAAGAGAGGTTGCATAGATTAGGATTATTTACATTAGGAAGGTGGAGGTTGAGAGGGGACCTGATTGAGGTCTACAAAATCATGCGAGGTATATCGGGGTGGACAGCAAGAAGCTTTTTCCCAGAGTGGGGGACTCAATTACTAGGCGTCACGATTTCAAGGTGAGGGGGGAAAACTTTAAGGGAGATATGCATGGAAAGTTCTTTACGCAGAGGGTGGTGGGTGCCTGGAACGCGTTGCCAGCGGAGGTGGTAGAGGCGGGCACGCTAGCGTCATTTAAGATGTATCTAGACAGATACATGAATGGGCAGGGAGCAGAGGGATACAGATCCTTGGAAAATAGGTGACAGGTTTAGATAGAGGATCTGGATCGGCGCAGGCTTAGAGGGCTGAAGGGCCTGTTCCTGTGCTGTAATTTTCTTTGTTCTTTGAATGGCTTGCAGTTACCCATTTCAAGTTTTTTTTGGACAATGTATGTGACTTAACACTGTACTTATTTTGTCACTGAAGTTTTTACATAGAGATAGAGGATAAATGGTTGTAAAAGCAAATTGATTTATTTCTGTCAGTGATACAGGTTGCTAAATAGAAGATGAGAGTTTAATTTCAAACTGCAGGGCATGTGATGGCTACCTCTGGTCTGACTGCCTCTTGTGGAGAGACATTGCTCTTTTGATGGCTAAACAGTATTGTCTGACCACTGGTAGACTTGGGGAATCGGCCCACACCCACCTTGAGGAGATGCCAAGGGCTGAGTTCCAATGATCTGCTTATACTCTGTGTTCAGGTAAATAAATGGATGCCAGCTACCCGTAACCTTGCTAAATCCAAGCCAGCAAGAATTCAAGGGTTGAATGAAGAAGCAAGAAAAAGTGAAGACACTGAATATTTTCACATCCTTGATACTGTAACTTGAAAATGAGTTGTTCTAAGTTTAAGGCTTATACTGTATTTACCTACAACATGTTAGCTTTTAGATTTAGGTTTTATTGTCACATACTCAAGCACAGGGTACAAAAGTACAGTGAAAAGAGTACAAAGAGTACACACAGCACCATCTTAGGTACAAAGTACCTAGGTACAAAATCTTAGTTATAGAAACAGAAAAATAAAGAAATAAGTTAAAAAGTTCAGCACTACAGTCTTGTTAGCCTAAAGGTAGAAAAATAAGGAAATAAATTTAAAATGCCAAACATTACAGTCCTTTCTTAAGCCATCCACCTGCAGATGTTCTAAGCTGGGCTTTCTCAAGAGACCTCGCTCTCCCCCACGCTGGCATACTTTCACCCACCCATGCACACCAGGCTTTGCTGCCGCTTACAAGGCTTCGGCCCAGACTCCTGCATCGCTGCTGACCGCTGCTACCACCATCCCTCGCAACCGACCAACCCAGCTGTCATCCACTACTATCTGCTGCTGATCACCGCCTCACTGTTGCCATCATCCAGGTTCGCACAGGGCCCCAGCTACAGCCCTGTTCTGTCACCGCTGCTCCCTCCATTACCTCCAAAAAGTAAGTAAGGAACAGTAAAAATCTTTAAAAAACTGAAAAAGAAGATAAAAAGGAAAGAAGAAAAGGAAAGTGGGCAGAATGGGTGAGATATGGGCTCAAGAATCTTGACGCTGCCTACTCCACCACCACCATCTTGGCTTTACCATCACAAGGTAGGAACCATCACATTTCAGAAATATTTGGATGATTGCTTGAAGCACCATAGCGTCTGTTGCTGTTCCAGCCCTTCCCTCGTCAGACTCACCTGTGAAGAACTAGGGCCCTAGTGTAGGCAGAAGGGATAGTACAATCTAAAATTTTCATCCCCAGAACGAGAAATTAAGTGGAAAGGGAGAGAAAATAAAGTGTTGTGCTCATAACTGATAAACAGAGTAGGACGTTTTAGTCTGGGTGAAGCTCAGTCTTCATTCAGAGAGAGAGGAGCAGCAGCAGCAGGAATACTTCAGCAAGGAAATTAACATATAAACTTTCAACATTTGTGCTTCACTGTAATTTTAATACTCTGAATGTCCCTTTCTAGTATTGTTCATCTAAACTTTTTTTCAGATCCTCATGTGACTTTTCTATTTCATGACCAAATGGTAATCTGTTTCATGTATTGTACTGGAAAATATGCTGTCTAAGATTATGTCATTTTAACAATCACACCTCATAACTATGTGCACTATTCCTGCAATCCTGAGACCAGTAGAATTTTTCTGGATCTCATGTTTCCAAAATGAATATAAACATTTATTCTCCAAGTACTTATCTTTTATTCAGAAAATTGTCTGTATTTCTTGCATAAGATTGCAGTTAGTGAATGCAAATTAAAATAGATGATAGAAAATTGGTTTGCAAATCAAAGAAAATTCATGTATTCTGTATTTTTCTTTCAGACAATTGTGAAAATGGCTGACTTGCTGAAGAATATTGGACATACTCTTACACCAAACCAACTCCCACGGTCACAGGTGCTACCCAGTGGTCCTGAATTGGTGCAATATGTGGAAAATGGTCCTTTGAACCAAACAATAGCGAAAATGCTTACTCAGAATAGTGCTGGAGTACAGGAAATGCTCAAAGGAAAGTTCAAGTTCCTGGGTGTAAGTGCACTTTACAAAATGAGAAAAATTGTTTATATTTGAGCCCAAAGCAGTTTTTCAGCATTATTAAATAGTATGGACATCAGTTGCCTGGTGTTACTTCGGCATAACTGAAGGAGAATACCCAATGGTAGTGTGTTAATTGTGACAAAAGACAAATAATCCGAAGACCTGGACTAATGATCTAGAAGCAGGAATTTTAATCCAACTATGATCATTGGGATAATAACATGCAATGAAATATATTTGGCATCAGTAATGATTGTGATTGTCTCAAAAATCCATCTCGTTCACAAATGTTCTTTTGGGAAGGAAATTGGCCAAAAGATAAAGATAAATACGAATAAATTTCTGTATTGTCAGGCCTGGTATATGACTCCACACTCACAGCAATGTGGGCTAATTTTAGCTGCGTTTTCAAATTACTGAGCAAGCTGTTTAGTTGTATTAAACCCTGGCACTCTCCCAGGAGGTGGGCATTCAATAGTGCATGGAAGAACTGCCACAAGGATTGTATTGCAATGGCCAAGATACTGTCACTAGGACAGACTTCTAGCCATCTAACTTCTGCAAAATTTCCCACTGCCTTCTGAAGTTGAGTTACTTTCTGTCCTGGTGACAATCTTGCAGCTAAATTCAGCCCAGTTAACTGTCTTTCTGTTTCCAGTTGTTGCCACACAAAATGGGTATTTCTAGCATTCTTTTTTTAAATTTCAGCTTGCAAATTTAATACTTTTACTATAACGCATTTATATTTTGTTTTGTTAGCAACTGAGATGTGCTACCTGGCACCCTTTGTAGTTGGTTCCGAAACTAGGGTCCTGATCTAAATAAAGGAAACTATGACAGTATGAGTTGTGAGTTAGCTATGATTTATAGGGGAACGTGACTTAAAAGGATAAATGTAGATAAGAAACAGCAAACATTTAAAGAGCTCATGAATGTACTACAGTAATTAATCATTACCGTTTGGCACAAAAATGAAATGGGAAAGGTGAGCTAATCATGGCTAACAAAGGATACTAGAGATAGTATTAGATCCAAGGAAGGGGCACACAAATTGGCTAAAAAAATCAACAGACCTGAAGATTGTAAACAGTTTTGATTTCAGCAAGGGAGGAAAATGGGACTGATTATGAGGGAGAAAAGTGAGTACAAGAGTAAGCTTAGGGGGAGCATACAAACTGATTATCAAAGTTTCTGCAGATATGTGAACAGAAGTAGATTAATGAAGACAAATGTTGGTTCCTTACAATCAGAAAGTTATAATGGAGAAAAAAGGGATAGCAGAGCAATTAAATACACACTTTGGTTGTCTTCACAAAGGAGGACACAAATAATAACTCAAAAATGATGGAGTACACAGGGTCTAGTGAGATGGAGGAACTGAATGAAATCAGTATTAATAGGGAAATGATGTTTGAGAAAGTGCTTGGATGAAAGGCTGATAAATCCCCAGGTCCCGATGGTCTACATCCCAGCGTACTTAAGGAAATTGCCTGAGAAGTAGTGGATGCATTGGTGGTTATCCTTCAAGATTCTATAGACTCTGTAATAGTTCCTATGGATTGGAAAGTACCAAATATAACCCTGCTTGTTAAAAAGAAGATTGTGAGAAACAGGAAATTATAGACTGGTGTGTCTAACGTCAGTAGTGAGGAAAATGATAGAGTCGATTATAAAATATTTAATAGTAGAGCACTTGGAAAATGAGGACATGGACAGACAGAATCAGCCTGGATTGATGAAAAGGAAATCATGCTTGACAAATCTACTGAAATTTTTCAAGGATGGAACTTATAGACTTGATAAGGGAGAGCCAGTGGATGTAGGTTAGTTGGACTTTCAAAAGGATAAGATTGAACATAAGAGATTAGCATGTAGAATTAAAATTCTTGGGATTGGTGGAAGTGTACTGACATGAATAGACAACTGGTTGGCAGACAAGGCACAAAGTTTAAAAACAAACGGGTCTTTTTCTAAGTGGCATCCAGTGACTGTTGGGCTACTAGAGGGATCAGTGCTTGGATCCCGCTGTTCAGAATATATGTTAATGATTTAGATAAGGGAACTGAATGTAATATCTGCAAGTCTGCAGATGACACAAATCTGAGTGGAAGGCTAAAGAGGAGAGTACAGAGAAGCTTCAGTGTAATTTAGACAGGTTGAGTGAGTGGGCAAATGCATTGCAAATGAAGTATAATGTGGATACATATGAGGTTATCCACTTTAATAGCAAAGCCAAGAAGACAGACTATTATTCTGAATGGTGATAGATAGGGAAACGGGGAGGTGGACCTAAACTTGGATGTCCTTGTACACCAGTCACTGAAAGTCGGCATGTAGGTGCAGTAGGCTGTGAAGAAGACTGATGGTATGTTGGACTTCATGGTGATGATTTACTGGAATTGAAGTACACACAGAGCATTGTGTGCAGTTTTGGTTTCCTTACCTGAGGAAGGTTGTTCTGCCTGTAGAGAGAGTAAAATAAAGATTTACCAGATGGATTCTTGGGATAGCAGCACTGATGTATGAAGAGAGACTGAATCTGTTAGTACTATATCACCTAGAGTTCAGAAGAATGAGGGGGATCTCATAGAAGTAGAAATAAAATGCTAACAGGACTAGACAGAGTAAATGCAGGCAAGATATTCCCAGTGACTGGGGAATCCAGAACCGGAGGTCATAGTCTAAAGATCTGGAGTAGGCCATTTAGTATTGAGAGGAGGAGAAGTTTCTTCATGCAGAAAGTGGTGAGCCTGTGGAATTCTCTGCCACAGAATGCTGTTCTTTGTCACAGAAAGCAGGCAAAAACATTGAATGGTTTCAAGGAGTTAGGCAGAGTTCTTAGAGCTAAAGGGATTAAAAGATGTAGAGGAAGTGAGAACAGGGTACTGAGTTGAATGACCTACCCATGAGCCTATTGAATGATGGAGTGGTATTAAAGGGTTGAGTGGCCTTTTCCGGCTCCAATTTTCTATGGCTCTGTTCCTGAAAAGGTGTTGAGACAGATTGTTTCAAAAGGGGCATTTGAAGATATACTGACAAGATAAAAAGAACAGCAAAATTATAGGGAAGATTGCTGATAGAGCAAAACTAATTGGACTTCTCTTTCAAAGAGCTGGTACGGCATGGAAGGCTGAATAGACTTCTCTTGTTGCAGATTAATTTCAAAATTTTATAGTCATTTTTAGAGTGAGGAAAGTTTCCATCTTTACAACCTGTGCATTAAGTACTATCAGTACAATCTAGTGAAGAATATCATACATCTCTTATGGAATTTATTGGATTATCTTAGCAGAAACATCAATGGATGCAGAATCAGAATGAAATTATCAGCCCCACCAGAAGTTATTTCATATATACCACACAGACAATGATTTGCCACAATATCATGGCATAAGTCAAAAGTACATTCTTCTTTAAAAAGATGAGGCCAACCGCTTTCCATGAAGATATTTCTGATTGTGCCACGATGTTAATGTTATTTTGATAAAGTTAATTATAATGGGGAGAAGATTGCATGAATTATTCTGCTTCGCTTTTCAGTTTAGCAATAAGTGCTAAAACTTACCAATTCAGATTCAAGAGTTCAAATTCTTGATTAACTGTATAAATTGCAGAGTAGTAATGAATGTGCTGAAAATCAGATTCTCTCTATGTAGTGCCAATTTTCATCACATTGGCTATTTGAAAATGCATGCCTTTATAAAAATGAATTTAACACAACATTCTGGTTTTTACAGGCAACAGAGATCGTGACTGGTATAATCTCCATAATCATTGGAATAGTGAAAATGTGCATTGATTCAAGTCGAAATCGCTACTTTGAATTTTCCCTAGTAATTGGGACACCCTGGTGGACTGGAGTTCTAGTAAGAACTACTGACAAATATATCAATGTAAAATTGTAGAGATTTTTGTATTTGTCTGGTGTTCAATAAGTACACTTGGTAGCAATTGTGCAGTGACTACTTTCCACACAAGAATTCTGTGTGCAGCAATCTCCAATATACTCTTTCCTTCTTGCATATGGAAATTGAGAGGGCACAGCTCTTGTTTTATGGCACCTTTGCCAAATTTGGCTTTTTTGAGCAGCTTTCTTCTCTCATGTTGGCCTCTTTGTAGATGTGATCTCAAACATGGATGGCACTCTGAGGTTTGTTACACTTGTTTGCAGCCTTGCGTATGAACAAAATTGGTTCCTCTTGCCTTCAGGAGCACTCCTGAGCATCATTGCTGCATGTTGTGAATTGAATTCCTTTGTGGCAAGAGAGGAACCATGCATTAAACTGAGGATCAAGACCCATCGTTTACAGGCCTGAAAATGAACAGTTTTGCTTAAGAGACGATTTGTCTGAATTCCTTTTTCTTTTAATTCTTTAATGGAATATGAACGCCGCTGGCAAAGCCAGCATTGATTGCCCATCCCCTAATACCTTTGAGAATGTTGTGGTGAGCTGCCTACTTGAACTATTTGGTGCAAGTACATCAACCATTTGGGACTGAGATGAAGTGAACTTTCTTCATCCAGAGAATGATGAACCTGTGAAATCCTCTGCCAGAAAAAGCATTTGAGACCAAAACATCAAATATTTTCAAGAAGTTGATAAACATAGTTTGTGGAGCTCAAGGGAACAAAGTTTATGGGGCTAAAGCTGAAACAGCATATTGAGTTGGGATCAGCTATGATGATATTGAATGTGAGAGCACTCCCGAAGGGCCAAATGGCCTATTCTTGTTCTTATTTTTCTATGTTTCTACAAAAGTTGTTAAGAAGGAACTTCTGGAATTTTGTACCAGTAATCATAACATATTGCTGATGTAGCTTCAAATCAGAATGATGTAGCTTTTTGGGGGGAGTTGCATGTGATGCTGTTCCAAGTTCTGCTGGCCTTTTCCTCTTAGGTGATGGAGGACAGATGGTTGATGGCGAAACAGCCTTGGAAGTAACAGCAGGACATCTTATGGATTATGTATTCTGCTGCTACTATCTGCCTGTGGTGGAGAGAGTTTATTTTTACTATGATGGCAGATGAGGTGTCATTTCAAGCAAGCCGCTTTGTTTTGGATGCTGTGAAGCCTGTTGAGTTTAGACATGCACTCATCCATGCAGGCGGAGACCACAACATTATATTCCTGACTTGTAGGCAGTGGACAGGCTTTGGAAGTGATACATTGAGTTTCTTGGCACAGAATTCCCAACCTCTCACTTGTTCTTATAGACGTAGCATGAATATACCTAGTCCAGTTCAATTCCTGGTCAATGATAACCTCCAAGATAGTGGGGTATAAATTTAATTCAGCTATATTATATCCATATTAGATGAAGAGACATAGTATTGCATGCATCTAATATAAAGCCAGGTGGAACAGTAAACTGTGAGGAAGACATAAAGAGGCTGCAAAGACATTGAGACCGTTAAGTGAGTGAGCACCAAGATGGCAGATGGAATATAAAGCAAAGAACTGGAAGTTATCAGTTTGATCAGAAAATGGAAAACAGAATGTATTTTTAGAAAAACGTGTAATTTGATGGTCAAAGAGACTTGGGTGAACTAGTACAAGTAAGCCAAAAGTTAGCATGCAGGACCAGCAAGCAGTGAATTAAGAAAATGGCATGTTGGCCATTATTTCAAGGGGATTGAAAAACAGGAATAGGTAAGTGTTTCTCCAGTTGTACAAAGGCTTAGGTGAGACTAGGTCTGGAATAATGTATTCTATTTTGTTTCCATATTTAAGGAAGAATATACTTGAATTAAAGGTGATGCAGAGAAGCAGCTCTTAAAGTACACTGGGCCAGCATGTAAAGTGACCCTGAACTGGGGTGGGAAAGTGGCTCAGTGGTTAGCATTGCTGCCTCACAGCTCCAGGGACATAGGTTTGATTCTAACTTCAGGGGACTTTCTGTGTGGAGTTTGCACATTCTTCCCGTGTCTGGGATAGCAAGAATAGCAGATGCTAGAGTCAGAGATAACACAGTGTGGAGCTGGAGGAACACAGCAGGCCAGGGAGCATCAGAAGAGCAGGAAAGTTGACGTTTTGGGTCAGGGCCCCTCTTCAGAAATGGCCTTCACGTGTCTGTGTGGGTTTCCGCCAGGTGCTGGGGTTTCCTCCTACCGTACAAAGATGATGGACTGAATGGCTTGCTTCTGCACTGTAGGGATTCTATGGATTCTACAAACCTCCAGAGTGCATGGGAAGATTCAGTCATGGGCGCTATTGCTTCCTTAATAATTGATTCTAATGCTTTTCCAACAGTAGATGTTAGGCTAATCTGCCTATAATTACTGCACTTTGCCTCATTCCGTTTTTAAAGAGGTGGTCAACATTGTCAATTTTCCAATCCCCTAGTACTTCTCCAGAATCCACTGATATTTGGAAAATTACACCCAATTATCTCTGTAGCTACCTCCTTTAGGATCCTATGATGTAAGACATCAGAGCCAGAGGACTAACCTAGCTTTAACCCATTAGTTTGTCTCATTCTACTTATTTGGTGATGTTGATGGTACTTAATTCCTCCCCCATTTTTTTTAGTATCTTCCACAATAAAGACTGATTTAAAAACAAAAGGTGGGACCAAGATCAGAGAACCCTGGATGTCACCCATTGCTCAATAGAGCACAATCCCCAGAGGAGTGTAACAAGTGTAGTGGGGAACTTAAAAAGGACATTAGGAAAGAGAGAGTGCATGAGAAAGCATTGGTGAGTCAAGTAACAGAAAACTCAAAAGGGATTTTTATGGAGATAAAGAGCAGGAGATTAACCAGGGAAAGAGTAAATCTATTAGTGACCTAGATGATGTGGGTACAGGTCTCAGCGAATACTTTGCACTGGTTGTCACAATGGACAAGGACAATGCAGTATAGACATCAGGGCGTAGGACTGTGAAATATTAAAAGAAATTAACAAAAAGTGACAGGAGGTACTAGTGGGCTTAGCAGGCTTAGAGGTGGATAAATCCACAGGGCCGCATGATATGTTTCTCAAGCTGTTGAGGGGGTAAAAGAAGACATATCAGTGATCTTAGCAGTATTTTCTGAATCCTCTCTGGACATGGGTGAGGTTCCAGTGGACTGGTAACATTGTTCCACTATTTAGAAAGGAAGGAAGAAATAGACCAGGAAATTATAAGCCAGTTAGTCTAAGCTTGATTGTGGGGAAGTTAAGAGAGAGAATTCCGAGGGACAGAATACAATTGCATTTGGAGAGACATGGATTAATCAGGAATAGTCAGCACAGATTTGGTATGAGAAGGTTTTAAGATCATAAGATGTCGGAGCAGATATAGGTCATGCAACCCATCGAGTCTGCTTCACCATTCAATAAAATGCTGCTAATCTGATAATCCTCAACACCAATTTCCTTGTTGCTGTAGCAGTGAATTCCCTTACTAATTAAAAATCTGTCTATCTCAGCTTGAATATACTTAATAATCCAGCCTCTACAGCCCTCTGTAGTAAAGCATTCCAGATTCATTATCTTCTGGGAGAAGAAATTCCTCTTCATCTGTCTTCTGTGGGTGACCCCTTACTCTGAGATTATATCCTCTGTTCCTAGACTCTCCAACAAGGAGAAGCAACCTCGCCACATTCACCTTTTCAAGACCCATAAGAATCTTTCAATAAGGTCACCTCTCATTCATCTAAATTCGAATGAGTACTGACCCAAAATACTCAAACTCTCCTCATAAGACAATCCTGCACATCCAGGATCAACCAAGTAAACCCTCTCTGGTCTGTCTCTGTTGCCAGTAATCTTTCCTTTTGAGAAGGTAACCAGAAGTATTGATGAGGGCAATGCAGTTGATATGGATTACATAGATGTTAGCAAGGCTTTCAATAAGGTCCCTTATGGTAGACTGGTCAAGAAAGTAAGAGCCATGGGATCCTAGGCAAACCTAATACATTCAATCCAAAATTGGCTGAGAGGTAGGAAATAAAGGGAGATGGTGGAGGCATGTTTCTGTGACTAGAAATCTGTCTCTAGTGGGATTCTACTGGATTCAGTGCTGGGCCCTGTGCCATTTGTGGTGTATATCAATGAATTGGATTTAAGTTTTGGGGTGGGGTGGGGGGGAGCGCAGTATGATCAAAATGTTTGCATATAACATGAAAATTTGTAGAGTGATAAATATTGAGGAAGATATCAGCAGATGGGGTAGCTGGGCAGACCAGTTGAATGGAATTCAATCTGGAGCACTGTTGAGGTAATGCACTTGGAGGGGATCTGACAAGGAAAGAGATTGCACTGTGAATGATAAGGCCCTGGTGGTAGTAAATATCAGTGGGATATTGATGTGCATATCCACATCTTTCTTGAGGTAGCAGGACAGCTAGACAAGATAGTGAAGAAGGCAAATGCGACACTTGCCTTTATTAGCTGACGAATAGAATACAACAACAGGGCAGTTATTCTGGAACTGTATAAAATGTTGCTTAGGCCACAACTGGAGTACTACTTGCAGTTCTGGTCATCACATTGCAGGAAGGAATTATTTGCACCAGGGAGAGTGCAGGCAAGATTTACCACGGTGCTACCTGGGTGCTAGGATCTGAGCCAAGAGGAGAAATTGGATAGGGAGGTGTTGTTGTTCTTGGAGGAAATGAGAAGAGACCTGATACATGTGTATATGATAATCAGGGGCATAAATAAGGTGGTATGAAGGCACCTTTCCTGTCAGTAGTGGGGAAAACAACCAGGGGTCACAGATTTAATGTAAAACATAGATGGCTAGGAGGAGAGTTGAGAAATTCTTTTTACTCGAGAGTGGTGAGTGTCTGGAACTCACTGCCTGAAAGACTGATTAAATCAGAAAACCTTGAAATATTTCAATATTATTTAGATACTCATTCACTTTGCCTTAGCCTCATTTATTCTGTACCTAGTTTCAAACAGGACAAATGACTGCCTCACTAATTAACCAGTGACACAGAGAGAATATGAAGCCAATATTTAGCATGTCTCTATGTCAGGGAGGCAAGGACTTAGGAAAAACAAACTCCCACACTTGAATTGTCATGCAATTCTTCTATGTTTGCTTTCTGATGTGAAACTTGCTTTGAAGTTTGTTATTGCAGGGTCACTTGCTTTGGCTGTTGAAAAAGCACCAACTCTACCTATGGTAAGTATTGTTCAATTATGATTAGTTACCATAAATATCATCTTTCAAGATCACAACCCAGCAATATTTTGTTACAAATTTTTGCCACACTAAATCACTGCTTTGGTATAGTTGTGCAAAATGGGCACTAATAATTACTTTGTGGGACAAAACTTTTGTTTTGAAATTGATAGATTCTTGATAAGCAAGGGGATAAAAGTTAATTGAGGCTAGGTGGGAATGTGCAGCAATCAGATTTGCCATGATCTTACTGAATGACAGCAGACTCAAGCTCTGATGGCTTACTCCTGCTTTTAATTCATATCGTAGAAATATAATTTCACATGACTGGTATTAATTAAAATATAATTAAACATCATGTTAGGAAAGGTAATACACTGGATAAGTAATTTTTGATGGTCGCTGTTGTCTTTCCTCACCCTAATGATTCTAAATCTAAATGTGCCCAAATATTTGCGTATTAAATTGCCACTGGTAGCATTTTCGTTGATGCACTTGTATACTTTATGATGCACAGTAACATTGCAGTTACAGATTTATTATTAAAAAGAAGTTAATTTTAAAAGTAAATAAAGAAAATTTCCATTTGGTGATTGATTTCTAACCTGAGCATATAGATTTAATTTGCCTGAGAAGAGAATGAGAGCCAGCATGAGGAATTTTTTTCAGTGAAATGAGGGTACACAATTCTCTGGGGCAGCACAGTGGCTCAGTGACCCAGGTTCAATTCCAGCCTTGGTGATGTTATGGATTTTGCCCGTTCTCCCTTTGTCGATGTGGGTTTCCTCCAGGTGCTCCAGTTTCCTCCCACATTCCAAAAATGTGCAGATTAGGTGGATATGCCATGCTAAATTACCCCATAGTGTTCAGGGATGTTAAGTCTAGGTAGATTAGCCATGGTGAATGTAGAGTTATAGGGATAGGGTGGGTCTGGGTGGGATGCTCTTTGGAGGGCTATTGCAGACTTGATGTGCTGAATGGCCTCTATCTGCACTGTAGAGATTCTAGTTCTAAACAAAAAAGAGTGGTTAGGATTTGGAATACACTGTCTGATAGAATTAACCTTTATTGTCACACATTTGTACTTGCATGAGTAAAGTGAAAAGTTTTCAAGATGCCACTTATGGTGCCATCTTAGATACAAATGTACCTAGGCACAGAATCTTGGTACAAAGCAGAAAAAATAATGAAAGCAAGTTAAGAACTTAAACATTACAGTCCTTCTTACTAAAACGTAGGAAAACAAAGAAACACAGTTAATAGTTTGTAAGGACCTGGCCATGCTGGGCTCACGCTCCTCGCAAGGGCTTGACCTCGGCCCCGACCTCAGCCTTGGACTGCCAGCTCCCACTCTAATGCCTCAGGCTGCCTGCTCCCCGTCTTGCTGCCAGCCCCAGGGCTGCCTGTTCCCATTCTCGCTGCCTCAGGCTGCCTGCCCCTTCTTTCGCCGGCCGCCCCCTATGATCATAGTTACAGATTCAGACATAGACTTCAAAACAGAATTAGATAAATACTTAAAGCAAAAAAAAAATTGGAGAAAGTTGGTAAATGAGTCAGGGTGAAAAACCTGGGTTTGGTCTTTGAATGAGCCAGTGCAGGCATGATGGGCTAAAATTGTGCAGAAAAGTGTCTTCCGGCAAGCTCGAGTGGCCAAATGGTGTACCTTTGCTCCTAGTTCTTGTGTTCTTATGTCATATTTTCACTAGCATAAGCCTCAAAAAAATAGATTGACTGATGCATGTACTGTTGAGGGAGTAGTAGTAAGTAGAATTTGGCTCCAGTAATGTGGAGCCCCCACTGACTGAAGAAGTTATAGGATGTCTTATTTACTTGGGGGAGGCTTGACTTGCTTCAAATGTATCCAGGCACTTAACTGGCAGCTTTGGACTTCAAGGGGATCAAGGATTCTGAAAGTGGATTTCAAGCCGCCTCACCCAAACTATTGACTACTTGGAGACCAGCAACTCTCTACTTCTGGCTGTACTACTGAGAAACAATAGCTGTTGTCAGTAATGCTCCACCAATTATGCAAAAGATTACAGCTGGAACAGTGGAGACAGCTGAATAGGAATGTTGGGGTCGCAGAGAGGGAGAACAGGGTAGTAAGAGGCAAGTGAAGTGATTTTCATCTACTGGCCTTTGGCTATGTTGGGGCCTTCATATTTATGATGATACTGCTTATGAGACTGCAGGAAAATTCAACAGGGTTTGTCAGGTAGCCTTTGGGATCTACAGGAGAGCCCTGTTGAACCCATTAACTCCCAGAGTCATCGTTAAATTCAGATGGGATCAGGGATAATAGTGCGAGCACAGTGCTGTAGAAGTGTGGTGCGTACTTAATGGGGTAACAGTGGAGAATCGTGTGAAATAACTCACTATTACTCATGAAATTGCCTGAAATTACATATGGAAATTTTTGGTAAAATTGAAACCAATTTATCCTTGTTTCTTTATCAAAGCAATTCAGCACCTTGAAAACTTCATACAAACTCATTCAAGCTTCTCCAGGCAATCAATGTAAATAAAGTCACTCAGTACTGGTAACATTGTAATACATCTTTTCACCCCTTCCAAGACTTTCATGTGTTTCCTAAAATGTAAATTTGAGTCTGTCTATGTTCCTATGTTTTCTCATATGTTCTTAATGTCTTTTTAAAATTCCAGATCAGAGGTTGTATATCAGCTCACGTCATCAGTGCCATTTCCTGCTTACCAGCTACAATAATATATGCTATAAGCATTGCAATTCAACCAAATTGTTTTTATTCAGATTCCTGTTCAAATTATAAGGTGAATGTTAAATGTCTCAGTATCAATATAATTTATCAGCAATATTTTCAAGTGTTTGCTATCTAACTTACTTTTTTTGTCTTTAACATATTACAGGGAACAATTTCATGTTTTGCCATACTTCTTCTATTGACACTGCTTAATGCAGCAATATCTATTGCAGTTTCAAGCTTCAACTGCAAAGCTCTGAACTGTTGTGGCACAGCATCAGTGGTAAGCTAAGTAATTAATTGATCTAAGACTGCATTCTAACCGTATATGTCCACATTTTATATTGTGTCTCTTTCGTGTTGTAGAAAGCTTTAATTGTGTCAATGATAACTGCTGGGCACTAGCAGGTAAATCATAAAGGACAAGGGCAACAGATACGTGGGACACCTCCACCTGCAAGTTGCCCTCTGAGGCACTCACCATCCTGACTTGGAAATATATAGCTGTTCCTTCACTGTTGCTGGATTAAAATCTTGGAATTCCCTTCCTAATGGCAATGTGGGTCAACCCACAGCAAGTGGACTGTAGCAGTTCAAGAAGGCAGCTCACCACCAGCTTCTCAAGGGCAACTAGGGATGGACAATAAATGCCAGTGATGCCCACATCCATGAATGAATTTTTAAAATTCTCTTGAGCGAAGTCAATGGAATAACAAGTCAGGCCAGGCTTAAATCAAGTAGCCAGTATATTTCTATTCACTTCTTACTCAGCAGGAGCAACTAAAATAGACTTACACAATTGTTATTGTGCATCCTCACCCCAGCATAGCCACAAGATAACAATTGTGACAAAAAGATGATGTTAACTAAAGCAAGGCTTGGATCATAAATCACAAGAACAAGTGACCTGGTGTATCAACTTTTTTTATTTGCGTGTCACTGGCTGGGCCAGCATTTATTATCTGTCCTTAATTGCCCTTGAGAAGTTTGTGTTGAACTGCCTTCTTGAACGGGCTGCAGTCTTGGTAGTAGGTACAGTGAATTTGAGAATTTTGACCCAATGAGAATGGTTATATAGTTCCAAGTCAGGATGGTATTGGAGGTGAACTTGTAGGTATTGTCATTCCCATACATCTCCTACCTTTGTTCTTCTGCCTAGGTGGTAGAAATCATCAATGATGATGTCAAAGAGTCTTGGTGAGTTGCTGCAGTACATTTTGTAGATGGCACAATGCGATGAAAGGTGTATAATAGACAGATGGACATGGGTTGGTTCTGCAAAGGTAATTTTTTTAAACAGGTCAGAAAGCCATTTGGACAGTGACTTAATACATCAGTCCTAAGTAAACATGTGATAAGTGCTGGAGAATCCCTTACATATTAATCCTTTCTGTGTTGAATTTATCACTAACAGAATAAATAAACCTCAAAGCCATTCGGTTTAGTTTTAACTTCAGAACAGAAAATTCAAACTTTTAGTTCAGAAGAATGGATGGAGGATATACAGAGGATTGCCTAACTAATAGAAGACAGTGAGCTGGGATTAGGAAGACATTTTCAGGATGGCAACCTGTAACCAGTGAAATACCACAGGGATCAGTGCTGCGCACAATTATTTACAGTGTATATTAATGATCTGCATGAGGGAAGTGAATGTATTTTTGCCAAGTTTGCAGATAAAACAACATAGGTAGGAAGATGGGGTGAGGATGTCACCCTCTGCAGAGGGATACAGAATGTTAAGTATGTAACAAAAACTTGGCAGATGGAAAATAACGTGAGAAAATGTGAGATTATTTAATTTTGTGGGAGGAATAAAGAAGCTGAATATTATTTATTTGGAAAAAAAAATGCAGAAAGCTACAGCACAGAGGGATTGGGGAGTTTTTGGTATAAATCACAAAAAGCTAGCGTATGAGTTTACCTGGTAATAGGGAAGACAAATGAAATGTTGGCCTTTATTTCAAAGGGAATGGAATATGAAAATAGCTAAAAGTATACAAGGCATTAGTCAGACCACAGTTTGAAATACTGTGAACAGCTTAAGGCCCCTTTTCTAACGATAGATATACTGGCATTGGAGCCAGTCCAGAGAAGGTCAGTCAGTTGATCCTGAGTATAGAAGGAGTGTCTTTTGAGGAGAGGTTGAGTAGTTTGGGTCTGTAGTTATTGGAGTTTAGAAGAATGAGAGGTGACCTTATTGAAACTTGACTTTTTTAGGGGACTTGACAGGGTAGATACAAAAAGATTATTTCTCCTTCTGTCTAAGACCAGGTAGCAATATCTTAGAGTAAGTGGTCAGCCATTTGATGCATGAAGAGGAATTCTTCTCCCAGAGGATAGTGAACCTCAAGAATTCTTTACCACAAAAGTCTGCCAATGCTGGGTTATTAAGTGTATTCAAGGCTGAGATAGACTGGTTTTAAATCAGTAAGGTAATCAAGTGTTATGGGAATGAGGCAGGAAAGTGGAGTTGAGGATTATAAGATCATGCCATGATCTTATTGAATGTTGGAGCGGACTCAGTGGGCTGAATGGATAACTTCTGTTGCTACATCTTATGGTCTTAGAAATTAGAATTTCAGTTTCTCCTAGCAGGATAATCATGTTAGTGGAATGAGTCCATTAAATTAAATCATAGAGCTGAATAGCTGTGAAATTCATCTGGAATTGGATTTCTGTAATGGATAGTGTTGTAAACAGGTTGAAATTTTGTTTCAGTGTTAAGATATTTCTAACTGTAGTACGTTTGTGTATATAGCATTATTTGTTTTGCCTTATTTTGTGTAATAAACCTATGTTCTGTTGTTAAAAGATTTCTGCAGCCTTATGTGAATAATTTTGGTAGTTAGCCACAATGCTAAACAACTGAAAATTAGAAATATGATCTATCAAGCCAGGTTTCATTTTGGGTTCTGACTTATCCTGGGATCATAAGAAAACACTGCTGTAACTGTGTGTCAGTGGCGAAGGGAATGAATGTTGAAGATGGGTGCCAGTCAAGTGGTCTGCTTTGTCCTGAATGTTGTCAAGCTTCTTGACTGTTGTTGGAGCTGCATTCATCCAGGCAAGTGAAGATTATTCCTTCACACTCATAGAATCATTGAACCCCTATGGTGCGGAAAGAGGCCATTTGTTCCATCATGTCCACGCCAACACTCTGAAGAGCATCTCACCCAGACCCAGGCCCTAACCTTATCCCCGTAACCTCACATTTACCATGGCTAATCCACCTAGCCTGCACATCCTGTTTTGTAAATGGTGAACGGGCATTGAGGACAAGAGGTGAGTTATTGCCACAGAATTCCAAGTCTCTGCCCCACTCCTGTATGGCTTGTTCAATTTATTTTCTGGTCAACAGCATATTGATAGTGGGAGATTCAGCAATTGTAATGCCATTAAATGCCAAGGCAGATAGTTGGATTCTTTCTTGTTTGCCAATATCACTGTCCAGGTCTTGCTACATATGGATACAAGATCTGAGGATTTATACATGGTGCTGAACATTGTACAATCATCAGCGAACATCTCCAAATCTGACCTTATGATGAAAGGAAGCTCATCGATAAAGCAGCTAAAGATGGTTGTGCATAGGACACTACCCTGAGGAACTCCTGTAGTGATGTCATAAGACTGAGATGATTGACTTGCAACAACTACAACTACGTTCCTTTGTGCTCAGTACAACTATAACCAGTAGAATTGTTTCCCCCTGACTTGCATTGACACCAATTTTACTAGGGCTTCCCTAGTATATTCAGATAAATGCTGCCTTGATGTCAAGGCTAGCAGCTCTCACCTCACCTCTGGACCTCAGCCCTTTTATCCATGTTTGGATCAAGGATGTAATAAGGATGGAGTTGAGTGCCTTGGTAGAACACAAACTGAGCATCAATGAGCAGGTTATTGCTGAGCAAGTACTACTTCATGGTATTGTTGACAACACCTTATATCACTATCCTCATGCTGCAGCCGACTGATAAAGCAGTAGTCAACTGAGTTATATTTGTCTTGCTATTTGTGGACAGAACACACCTGGGTAACTTTTCACATTGCCAGGTAAATGCCAGTGTTGTAGCTGTGCTGGAAAGGCTTGGTTAGGCATATGGCTAGTTCTGAAACAAAAATCTTTAGTATGATTACTGGTGTGTTGTCAGGGTCCAGTTTCCAGTCCCTTCAACCCTCTAGATATGAAGTTGAGTGAATCGAATTGGCTGAAAACTGGCATCTCTGATGCTGAGACTTTATTAGGAGACTGAGATGGATCATCCATCTGACACTTCTGAGCAAAGATGGATACAAATGCTTCAGCCTTGTCTTTTGCACTGATTTTCTGAGCTCCCCATCATTGAGAATATGGATATTTGTGGACCCTCCTCCTGCAGTTAGATTTTTAATTGTCCACTACCATTCATGACTGGATGTGGCAGGACTGCAGAGATTTAATATAATTGTTTGTTATGGGAGTATTTAGCCCTGTTTATCTCACACTGTTAGTGCTGTTTGGCATGTAGTATTCTGTGTTGTACCTTCACCAGGTTGACACCACACTTTTAGGTATGCCTGCTGCTGCTGTTAGTGTGCCCTCATGCAGTCTTCACTAAATCACTTCTTTGTTTTTCTCCAGTTGCATTCTTCCCCTTTTTATGTAAATTAGTCAAGTATCCTAATATCCTATCCTAATACAATTTAATATTCCTAGATTTCAAATCGTTGTCTTTTTGCTGTAGCTCAGTTGGTGGTACTTTAATGCTTTTTACCTGAAGGTTGTGGGATCATGATTTAATGCAAAGATATTATCTTGGCTGGCAAGCCCAGTGTCTCTAGGAGGGGAGTGCAACATGGTCGAGGAGCTGTATTTTCAGATGAGACATTAAATTGAGGCCACCTGTCACACTCACGTCAGCATAGAAGATCCTATGGATTGATTTTGAAGAGCAGGGGTGGAATTCCCATTTCCTTGGTGAACATTTATCTCAGTCAACATCAATAAAACAAAGTAGCCAGTTATTAAGACAGTGCTGTCCCTGAAACCTTGTTAAGTAAAAATTGTAAAGATCATGTCTTATTATTTTTGTGCTTTTTAAGACTGTGAAATGAGAAATGAGAAAGAACTGTTTTGAAATCCAGGGGTTTACAAAAATGGCTGCCTGTTTTGAAAGAGATAGTAAGAACTGCCGATGCTGGAGTCTGAGATAACACAGTGTGGAGCTGGAGGAACACAGCAGGCCAGGCAGCATCAGAGGAGTAGGAAAGCTGACATTTCGGGTCGGGACCCTTCTTCAGAAATGGGAGAGGGGAAGGGGGCTCAGAAATAAATAGAGAGGGGGGGGTCAGGCTGGGGAAGGCAGGTGGAATGGTGATAGGTGAGTGCAGGTAGGTAGTGGTGGGGATTGGTCAGTGAGGTGGGAGGAGCGGATAGGTGGGAGAGA